AAATGTTTTGAGAATGATGAAGGCAATGAATGTACAAATGCGCTTTACACAATTGATATATGTATGGATTGTGATGAGAGTTGTATGAGCCCCTAATAAAATGATTAGAAAAAAAATATGTTAAAATTTGAAAGTTAATACTCAGTGTAATAAATAGTTGTTCACAGGCTAGGTCTTTTTAACGTGGTCACATATGTAATAAAAAATTCATCATTTTAACTATAAAAAAAAAACAATAGGATACAACACTATCCCTTATGAATATCAGTGTAAAAATCCTCAGCAAAATAAACAGAATTTAAAAGCATATTAAAAGAATCACACATCACATTTGAATGGGATTTATGTTCAAAATGCAAATGTGTTTGACATTTAAAAAGTCAATCGATGTCAATCAATGTAATACACCTGAGATAAACACTGTGGGATTAATTGAAGGGCGGGAGATAAATGGCTCAGTGAGCCCCATCTTTCTAGTTCTCAGGTCCCTTGCTTTCTGATGGTCAGACCAGGGTGCAGTTGCCTTAGCCAGTGCCCTGCTTCAGCTGGCAAGACTCACTGCCTGTGAGACATCCCTGAAGAAAAGCCGCATGGACCTACCCCGATGCAGCCCTGGGTGCTGGAGCAGCCGTATGGAGACCCCTGCCAGCGCTGAGATGCTTACACGCTCACTGACTCGGCTTTCCTCCTGAGTCGGCGTCATTGTGTGTGTTTTGTGAGCTTGAGGAGGACTTTGTGGATCGGTGTTGGACATATGAGTTAATGTTGGACTTATGGACTTGGACAGCACTGGGTTGGGATGTTTTCTTGATGTGCACTTACCCTTTATATAAAACTCTCTCTTATGTACCTATGAGTTTTTGTGCATTTGTTTCTCTAGTCTATCCAGACTAACACAACACGATATTATTACAATCATTAATTGGAATTGATTAGTGTGAGTTTGGTTTATTACAACATCAACAACAACAACAAATACACACGATAATCTCACTTGATGCAGAAAAGATATTTGATAAAATCCACCACTCTCTAACTGTAAAACACAAATTAAAATCATAATGAGGTGCCACTTTGCAGTATGAGAACTGTTAAAAATAAAACACAAAATAGAGAGCATTGGTGATGAGGAGGAAAAATTGGAACACTTATCTACTGCTGAAGGGATTTTTTTTAAAGCATTGTGCAGACCCAGGGGAAAACAATTTGGCAATTCTTCGAGAACTTAAAGCATAGAATCACATACGATCCAGTGATTACACTCCTAACTTTATGTTAAAAAGATTTGAAATCAGGAATTGAAACAGATACTTGTCCATTGAAGCTTTATTTACAATAGCCAGAGAGTGAAAACAAGTGTTTTTTTTTCAGTAGAAAAAAATAGTAGATGAATAGACAAATACAGTGAATTATTCTTTAAGGGATACGTGTGCCCGTTAAAGGTGATGAACAAAGCTGCATACCGAGAGCGGGGAAAACTACATCATACGGGGAACATAATTAAATATATGGAAAAGTGATTCACGTGGCAAATGTTTTATGATAAATATTTTTCCATACATACAGACAACAAAACCAGTGACTAGACCAAAAAGTTGGTAAAGATGTGAAAACCTCCTTTTCTCGTGCATTGCTGGTGAAAACATAAGATGGTACGGTTACTCGGGAAAACAGAATACTCCGCAAAAAGCCAAATATGCAACTATAATACCAGGGCAAACCCAAAATTGCTACCAACAAATCATAGATATGACAAAATAACAATTTATAAATTATCAAGGGCTCATGAGGGAGGGGGGAGCGGGGAGGGAGGGGAAAAATGAGGACTGAATGCTGGGGGCTTAAGTGGAGAGGAAATGTTTTGAGAATGATGAGGGCAATGAATGTGCAAATGCACGTTACACAATTGATGTATGTATGGATTGTGATAAGGGTTGTATGAACCCTTAATAAAATGATTTTTTTTTAAATCATAGAAACTTTTATTAAACAAAATTACCAAAATGTGAAGCTATTGGTTCTTGACATGTTCCCTATGTAGGTCTAGACACTTCTGCAGCCAGGGTTTCCAGCCCTCGAATGGAGCCCTGGGGGTGTAGTGCTTCTGAGTGTGGCTGTGAGCTGCATGGTTGTCCATTCAAAACCACCCCTAGCTCCTCAGGACAAAGACTGGGCATTCTAGTCCCCTAAAGAGTTACGGTCTTGGGAACCCACGGGGAGGTCGCTGTGAGTGAGCAATGACTCGATGACAGCGAGAACTTTTCCCTGAAGACCATTGATTCTGTGATTTATGCCGCCTGAAGAGAAGAAGTGGGTATCCTCAAAGGACTCAGATTGTGTTTCCTTTAAGTGTTCTTTGAAGTCGGAAGAGGCCAGAGCAGGCCTATAGCGGGTTACGGTTAGGTTTCCCAAATAAATTGCTACCCTCAAAGAATGAATCGTTGCACTTTCATGATGGACAAAATTCCTTGTCACAACTTTCCTGGCCTTTCCTTTCCCACCAATGTATTTCTTCATTTTCTTAAACCTTTGTCATAATAAGCCTGCATGCCTGTCCTTGGTCCTTTGAGAAAATCAATCACAGTGACAGGAGCAGCACAAGGGTTTAATCCTTTATCCTGACTGCCTGAGAGTGACTGGCTGGAGCTCTGTGCTGAGGAGTCTGAAGCCACCACTGGACTAGGTGGGAAAGTCTGATGATGTCTGCCAAGGGCAGAGCAACACGTTCTTCTTGGTATCGGTTTGTTGTCATCTCTAGCATAGAAAAAAGGCAAATCAAGTGACAGTCCCTAGCATGCCTATTCTAAGGGACAAGATATAGACTTGGGCCACCACAGGTTTATTCTGCAGTAAAAGGTCTACTCTGCAGACAATTTCTTGAGTCTATGTCAGAACATGGAACAAACCTTCAAAAGATAAGCTTTTCCATGGGGGGTGGGGAGGGAGATTGCTAACCAATCTTAATTTCCTTCCTAGTTTCGATTATTTTAGCCTCCCTTTCCTCCTGTTCCTTGTGTTTCTTTATTTCCCTCTCCCCACGTCCTTACGTGTTTATGTGTGTGGAGAGTTGTTTGGGGGATCTGGGTGTAAGAAACTCAAGAGTGGGGGAATTTGAAATTGACCTGGGAAGTGAAAAAATGGTTCACCTACCTTCTGCCTTGTTGTCATCTACCAGTGGACAGGCTGTCCTCAAGGTCACCGTGCTGAGCTCTGAATGTCGGCCCCGTGTATCCACAGCATAGAGAGTAAACCTGCAGTGCAATAAGAAAACAGAGCACCAAGCTGTGCCTTCAGAGAAAGGCCTGGAAGCTGAAGAGAGGGATGCCATAACCAAGGGCGGGGGGAATCCAGGGGTATGTTTGGGCCGAAGAAGAAATTATTGGGAGGTAGGGACAAAATAATTATAAAGCAATTACTGATTGCCTGCTGCATACTTATACTTAATCTCTTAATTTACAACTCAATAAACTAGAAGCAGAACTTATAATAACAAAGGATGAAATCAAGACCTACATTATATATATTTCCATGATCTCACAGATACTTAGGGACAGAGCTGGAGTTTAAAATGAAGGGAATCCCAAAGCTACCCAGTATCATGAATACAGTTCCATATGTTTATATAAACACACATATACCCCTTCATTAACTAATCTTAAAGCAGTTATCGACTGAACATTAACCATGTGCCAATAACTATTTTAGGTGCTAAGGTTATAAAGGTGAACAAGAAAGTCAAGAGCCCTGCTTGCATGATAACCATAGGATGATAATCATAGAATGGGACATATAAACTGATCATGTAGAAAGGTGTAGTGTGAGAGTGTAGAGCTATATTTCAGACAGGATGGTTCACAAAAGCCTCCATGAGGAGGGCGAATTTGAGATACGATCTGAATGTTAAGAAAGACCATGCTGTGAGAGGATGATTTGTGGTGGGGCGGGAGGGGGTGGATTCCAGACAAGGAGATCAGCAATGACAAAGGCCCCATAGAGAAAGGGAACCAGGGTTTTGGAGGAATGGACAACAGATGTAGCTGAGACAAAGTGAGATGAGCTAGAGGGTTGGAAGGGACATTGTGTGTCATGATGGGAAGCCTCGGTATTATTCTATCTGCAGGGCATAACTCCATCTTTCCATAATATCATTGGAAATTTAATGTCCTACAGGCAGGAGAAGATGTGGGCTGGGTGGTCTTAGAGGGAGCATACTGGTAAAACAAGACGTGGCGGATTCAGGTCCACTCCAATGTATGCGGTTCTTTCCATAAGAGTCCCTGACCTCGGGAGACTCTCACCCTTCAACCCTCTAAACCATCAAGTTTTGTGATTTTAAATAATATCGAATGTATAGGCACCCTGGTGATGTCATTAGGTAACTGTTGACCTGCTATCCACAAAGTTGTTGGGTCAAACCCACCATAAGTGGCTGTCTGCTTCCTTAATTATTTACAGCCGTAGAAATCCTGTCTAGGGTCACTATGAGTCAGAATCGATTTGACGGGGGATTGTGTTGGTGTGTGTTTTCATTGAAGGTGTAGACAAAGTTGAATGTTGAGAAGAGGTCAGCTGTGGCGGCCAGAGCAACGTTGACCTAAGAGTAGGACATCCGGTGGTCAGTACCATGCTACCTCTTTCATAAGCCTTCCAAGGGAGAGGTAAGGATCGGAAGTAGTGGGGCCACTGGGCCACTGGCCCTCTTTTCCATTCAAAATGTTTTCCTTCATTTTACAAGTGGGGATAATGCATTTTGTTATAAAATGGCATAATGCTATGGCTGCCCAGATGCAGAAAGATGAGCTTGTCCTGGTGGTACTGGGATCTAGGTGAGTCACAGGACCAGGAAAGCCCTGGTTGTCCTGGCAGGTAAGTGTTGGTCTGAATCTCAAGATTGGTGGTTCAAATCTATCAGTGGTTCTGCAGGAGAAAGATGAGGTTGTCTGCCCCCACCAAGCTTGACAGTCTTAGTGACCCTAAATAGGTTTGCTATGAGATGTAATCTACTTGATGGCAGTGGGTGGAGTTTTTTATGAGTTAGAATTGTTTTTACTAGGGGTTTAATGACTATGAGTTGGGTGTACAAGAAACTCACTAGCCTGAGGTTAAGCAAGTAGTCAGGTAAGTGAGTAGTAACAGTATTGTGCAGCATTGCATAAGCACTTCTCATATGCACATCCATCTAAAATATGGCAGACCCAGGTTCAAAATCTAGCCTGAAGGTCCAAAAGTGTACGCTCTTCAGCTTGGCTATAACTGGCATTTCACCGAGCACTGGGAGCATCGTAGGCATCCAATAAACTACTGGAGCAAAGAAATGAATCTGAACATATCAAGTCATTCCTCAATTTCCCCCTTTAGAATATGGCAATAACTATACAAACAGTGTGTGGCTGTTTCAAGGATTGAATGGGGCATGCATGGCAAAGTGGTCCGTTATCGGTTAATTAAAAAACCATATAAAGACCACTTAGTACAAGAGGGCACAGTTTTAAAAAAGAGCCTCAAAACATGAAGAGTTGAAGTATTTTTCTAACATTGTTTTCCCATTGACCATTTATCTGTCTATCATGCTTCTGTTAGGCATTTCTGTCACCAAGGGGGTCTGGGATCACCCCTCTGCTTGGCCGAGCAGTATGAATCACCACATGCTGCAGATGAAGTGGTTGTAGATTTTCGAGTTATAGAATGGGAAGAGAAGCCTTGCTCTCCCCCAGTGGCCGGCTGAGCATTTTCGGAGAAGTCATTTGACTTCTCGATACTGGAGTCTCCGCATGCGTAAAATTGAGTAAAATCACCCGCATCTCACAAGTGAGGGCTCCAGATTCAGTGACCCCATGACCTCCTAGCCCTGGGTCCTCTTAGCTTCATAAAAGCTAGCTTATTTTTCGTGCAGAGAACAACGGGACAGGCCAGTGGAGGCTCGGGATGGAGGAGGTCTTAGGCCACCCTGCCACATAGGGTGGAGAAAGGGGAGGATGTCAGCCTCCCAGGCCTGGGTCAAAAGTCACAAGGCCATGCGCTGGCTGCCTGTCTCAGCTGTAATTGTAGAACTGTTCCAGGGACACATCTGAAAGCTGTTAGGGGACCAGGCAGGGTCTAGAGGGGCTTTTTGTAAGGGGAAAAAATTGGCCACCCCTGCTCTGGAAAAAGAAGGCGGGGCGGGGAAGAGGGGGGACGAGGTTGCTGCAAACAGACAGAGAGAAGAGAGAAGAAGATGGGCACCATCAGACTTTGGGGTTTTGCAGGAAAGGCGTCTGCTCCCCTCTGCTCAATTCTGAAACTTCTCTCTCCCCTTTGAGGCCAACTCTTTATTGGAATGGACGCTCCTAACTCCGCATCTTTATTTTAAAGTGATGGAAGTAGACCCAAACGGTGAAGACATTGGACCCATTGCCCTTTAGATCAGACACTGCTCACAGTTTCTTGCACAGCCAGCTGACCTACCTCCAGTTTCCCTGATGGGAGATTATTTTACTGTGAAAGATGGCCAATTTAGGAAGCTGGAGGTCCAGACCCAAACCCTTGCGATTCTATGCCTCTTCTGCCTTATTTTGTTTCAGAGGAAAGAGCAACAGTCAGGGTGGTTAGAAACCAGAGCCTGAGCCGCATCTCCCACTGACAGGCTGGGAGACCTGGGTACCTAAAGCTCGAGAGACTTGTGTTGGGAAGTGGAAATGGGAAAAAAAAATGGTGGGAAAGGCCTTGGAACTGGCTACTCAAATGCACTGAATTTTTCCAATACTTCTCTATGCTCAGGGCAAAGTTCAAACAAGTTTGTCCCCAATCTCGCTTGTTGGTGTTCACTTATTCAAAAGCAACCATCACTGAGCGCCCGGTAAGTTCTAACCACAGATCCAGGCTTATTTGTCAATCTTTGCTTCCTGGACGAGTCAGCTGGCAGATGTGCCTCATCCATTTGGCTTGGTCAATACCGCATCCTCTCTCTGGCAGGGCATTCTTTCGGTCCCTCCTCCTCTGCTTTGTCCTTGAAGCTTCAGTTCAAACCTCACCTCCTCTGAGAAGTTTGTTTTGACTTTTCTGAAGAGTTGCTCAACCCTGCTTTCTCTCTACATGACATCCCATGGCTAAGTCAGTGCGGGGTCCTTTGTGCACCCATAGATGTGAGCATCTTCAAGGCAAGAATATTGCTCTGCCCATCCCTACATCCCAAGCCTGTACACCTGGTGCCTACACACTCAGCGGACATTTGCCAGCATGACCAGATGGCTGAATACATGAGTGACGGGACGTCTCAATCAATTATGAGGTAGTATTTCCCTTTTCTGGGTCTCTGTTTCATCATCTGTAAAATGAGCAAAAAGTCACTATACTAAGCATCCATTTCAAGTGGTGTATAAGACCGTGGGTTTGGAATCAGGTCATATGAGTTTACATTCTGGCGTTCTGTTTATTGACTGTGTGAGGTCTTGCCTCATTTTACCCACCTGCAAAATGGAAACCATCAGAGGAACAAACCCCCCTCTCGTTCAAATGAGATGCTGTGTGGAAAGTGATTAGTGTGGGGCTGAACGCTCAAGATGGTAAACCCTCAACAAGACAGCACTGCTCTTATTATTTTCTTACAAGGTTGTTGCTCTGTTACTGGCCCAAGCTCTGCCTTCACCCCCACCTGGAATAAGCTGTCCTAGTGGAGATCCTAAGAGGGTGGGTGGAAAGGAAGCTGTTCTTGGTCCCATCCAAGACCCCTAGGCCCCCTCACAGCAGGGGTGAGAGAATGAAACCGAGAAGTTAATTGGCGGTGAGAGCTTTTCACAGATCTGACAGGGGGTAAGAGCAGGGACAGAGCCCCAGAGGCCCACGTCAGGCCCAGGTCCCCGAGAGTACGATAGAATGTGTTTGAAGTCTGCAGACGAACGCCTGCTCTTCCCCAGCCACCGCATGATTTAGGCATTTTGGGGAGGCAAAAGTCTCCTCGCTGATTTGAAGGGAAACAGATGTTTCCAGGCCAGAGGCCCTGGTCTTGTAAAAGGCTCCTTCCCCCCACGCAACTTTGGCAAACAACTTCCCGATAGTTCACACACACCCCCCATACTCCCCTCCGACCATTTCCAGCACAAAGTGACAGTCAGGGGTGGTGGGAAAATGTCGCGTCCCAGTTTCAGCCCTGGGTCTGAGCGGCTGGGTGGCTGTTGGTCTTGGTTGCCATTGAGTAGCCTCTGACTCACGGACACCAGAATCAAACGGCCTGGTCCTACCCTGTCCTCACAACTCCGGCTGTGCAGGGGCCCAT